GTAAGGATGCATTGATCGAGGCCGTGGACATACGAGAATAGCTTCTTCGCGATCTTCTCTATCTCAGTCGGTCGTGAGTGAACAATCGCCAACGTGAAACAATAGTTGAAAGAGAAAGAGAGAGAGAAAACGACGAGAGCGGCACAGACGGTCGAAGTCCTCGACGGGGAATCTCCTCTCTGTCGTTCTCCTTTTTAAATCACGAGGCTACCTGAGGTAGCTCGGCGCGTATAGCCGATGCGCGGGGCTCGTTTCCCTCCGAAGTACTACACGCTCGCGCTCGCGCTTGTGTGTCGTCCTTCCTCGCGTGTACGTAGTGAGTACGTACGTACCGTAAGTGCGTGCATAATGCAAGAGAGAAGGCCCAGACTGGGAGATATATTTTCACGGGCGCACCACAGGCCCAAATGTATTCACCCAATTATCTCCGCATCGCCGTCTCTTCCGCTCTCTCCCCTCACCGCGCGCGTCCCTCGTCTCGCGTCGCAACTTTTTCTCGCTCTCTATCTTCGCCGGCGCATTTGCATGGAATGCATTCATATGAAATCGACCATTCTTCCGCCGACTTCTCTCCCTGCCCTTCTCCGCTCCCCCTCCCGTTTTCTCTCTCTCTCTCTCTCTCTCTTATGCGCGCGCACATCCCCGCCATGCTCCCATACGCGGTAACATCTTCGAGTTCTCTTTGCGGTGCCGGTAAATCCCACGGAGAATACTCGAGATGTAACGCGCGTTGTAGAAAATTGGTTCGGCGTAATGACGACACTCTCTCTGTCACACCCGACCTTTCAGCCCCGCCCCCTCTCACGCCCTTTTTTTCTCTTCTTATCAAACGGCAACACCGTGATAATTCGAATCGTTCGATGGCGAACCATCGACTCTTCCGTCACTGTCAATTGAAACGCGTCGTCGCAGTCGTGCCTTTCGCAGGAGTTGCAGGATTTTTCTCCACTGATAACAGGGGATGTTATCGGTCTCTCGGTGTTTCCCCGTCGTCTCGGAGAGCTCGCCCTCACTTTTCCCGCGCGTACTCTTCTCGGCCGCTCGATTCGCCTTCTAACGGGTGGCCGCAGACAATCGCGGGACGTTCATTGAAAGCCCGCCGCTGTGCGAGCGCAGAAACGATACGCAACGTAATCCGACGTATGCACCGCGCGCGCATATAACGCGCCATCGCGTGTAATCTGCACGGTACATAAACGGCGAAACTGGGGCGCATTATAATGCTATTACAGCAAGTATCGCAAGAACGCATCAATGGAATAACGAAGTACTGTTAATTATGCAAGAGTGCATTCATAGAATGTTATCGATCGGCGTCCGCCTGATGTAAAAAGATCCGATTCATCACGCATGATGAACGGCCGAACGCCTCGTCCCCCGTGCGATCGCGCGGATAAGTTTCTGAATTGTTTAAAACCCTCGGGAGAATTATCACCTGAGAGCCGAATCAACAACAACCTCGAAGAAATTTACACGAGCGATCGCTCGCGAACGCCGGACGTAATGAAAAAAAGGAAAGGAAGGAAGGAAGGGAAAGGAAAGGAAGAATCTCGAATTCAGTTAAAGCACGCGAATAAATTGGCAAGCGGGAATTTATTGTCGCGCGATATTAGGTGAAATAATATTTTACCTCCTCCCGTGCGCTGATTACCTTATACGCGATATTATTCGCAAAGTGCCCCCGCGTCCTCCCGCGAATATAAAATCACGAGGACCGAGTGGAAAATTGGCCGGAAATCCGTAACAGAGGAAAAACCGCCGTCTGCTCCAAAACGATAATATCGCGGGAATTACGCGTCAAAGAGAGCGCTCTCTCTCTCTCTCTCTCATGATATGACTGCAGAAAAATGGCCGCGAAATGACCTTGGGAGATGGCTCTCACTTTCAATTTATTCCCTTATTTCACTACCGCCGCAGTTACGACCGGCTGCGCACAATGCGGATCGTCCTCCGGAGTCATCCGTGAGGAAGGGGGCGGGAAAAAAGGCCGGGGACGCGCTCCGTACATCCGGACAGGTCGTCGTCGTCGTCCCAAAGGCGGGGAAGTGACTATCGAGGAGATAAGGAGAACAAATGAGTGCTTATGGCACAGAGAGGGGCGGGCGATATCTCCATCGTCCTCGTCGGCAGGCAGGCAGCGCGTCACAAAACGACCAAGACTAAAGAACTAAGGAGATGCACGATAAGAGCGCGCGCGCGCGACCGGAGAATGAAGATAGAAGGGGGAGGAATTCAAAGACGTCCGACGTTTTACGAAGGTTCTGGAGGGACAGCAGGGAAAGTAGAGGATACGAAGGACGGAAGGAGGGAAGGAGGGAAGGTCCTACTACACGCCGCGGCAAGGGAGGGATGCGAGAGGGGCGAATGGGAGGTGGCGTTTTCTGTTTAAGCGACATCAAAGAGCCTGTCGCAAATTTTCTCCCGTCCTCTCCCGCCCTCCCTCGCGCGCCCTTCCCGTCGCTGCCCGTCGCACCCCCAGGAGGTCATACTAGATCGTGTTCCATCCGCCCGCATATACACGGCGCACACGATGCGTTCCAGGATGGAGTTCCCGAGTTCCGGGCGGTAGTTTAGCGGCACCGAAGAATAGCGAACGCTGTGAGTGGCAGTGGTGGTAGCGCCCCCGCCGCCAACCACCTCCGCTAAAAGGGTAAACGTTGTAGGCTGCCGTGCTGGATTTTGGCGGATGCGCGGGGGATAAGACAACTTCTCCATCCATCTTCCTTCCTTCCTTCCTTCCTTCCTTCCTTTCCTCCCGGGAGTCGACACGACCAACGGACCACGCGTGTGTCGGTGCGTTTGAAGGGGTGCGTGCGCAAGCGCGAGTAAGTAGCAACGACCGCGAGACGTGATGCGCCGAAGAGATAATTAAACTTCCTTCCGATCGTTCCTCGCGACCCATGCACGAGAGTGAGCGAGAGAACGAGGGATGGAGAGAGAGGGAGGGAGAGAGAATGAAGTAGTGACGATTAGAACGTCCTGGTGATCCACGCGAATCTTCACCCGCGTGATTCATAGATTATATTGGCAATGATCTTCGCGGATATCGAAATAGGTTTGAACGCTTTTTTTTTTTCAGAACACAAATGATGGTCCAATAAGAAAACTCGTTTTCGAAAAGTAAGTTTTCTTTCCTGTTCTATTCCATTATTTATTACTTGCAAATGTTTCGACATAAGTACATCTGCTTGTACGAAGAAAATATCATATTGCACATAGTCAGTTATATTTCTATTTCTGGCAAATATTTGCCAAGGAGTAACCATTTCACATATATCGAGCAAATATTACTTGAGCGGTAGCGCAAGTTTTTTTTTCCGGCACATACCTTACCATTGTAATTAGAGTCACGTACGCAATTTTCGACTTTACGCATATATGTGCAAGGCTGGAGATCGTCCAACTTTCGATCTCGAAGGCACGGCCAAGGCAAACATGACATAGTGTGTACACTTTTCTTTCATTGCCGACAATTCATTCATTTCATTGCCTCAATGAATTCCCCGGACGAAGATAGACCGTGTTTTGTCGGAAAAGTCAAGACCGGGCGAAATCGCGAGGAATATCGGCCGATACTCGAGGATGCGTCGAATCAACGAGATCAGTGAGATCAGTGAGGTCGCGGTTGCGCGATCTTTGACCCCGAATCAAAAATACAAGTGTCCAACATCCACGAGATCCACCACCACTGTGTTCCTCTCCTTCCCCTCTCACCCTCCCTCTCTCTTTTTCATCCCCCCCCCCCCACCCCGGCACGTNCATCCCGGTACGTTCACCGCCGGCACAACGCACGCGCATTGTCATTTCTCTCGGCGACGTTGCGCCGTTCGGCTGTGTAGCGAGGGTGGCATTACACGTGCACACGCGTCTATTACGTGTGTTCGCGGCCCCGCGTCTACATAGTGTCTCGAAAACTTCTCCGCTCGCGAGCCGGCGATATCAAATTAAATCTCTAGCACGTACCGCGCGCGCGCGTGCCTTTAATCGCAGCTTTCTCCTTTTCCCGGTACTTTAAAAACGCGAAATGCGAGTGACGTTACGTATCCCCGCCGTATTCCGCCGTTTCTCCGCTTTTCTTCATATTCCGGCGATTGTGTCTGTCGAATCTGCCGAATGCATGCCGAACGCATGTCGACTCCCCGTCGAATCTCAGTTATGAATTCACCTTATTATTTGTCAAGCGTGTTGAGCTCCGTCTGTCGTGAAACGTCGCTGTCACGACAATGACAGAGTTACTATTTCGGAGGGAAAATTTGGGACGGTTCGTGCGTGCATTTTTTAACAATTTTACCGCTCACGTATATTTTCACACGAAAATACCGCATCCGCATCGTTTTAGTCGTCGCTATTGTTATTATCATCGTTACTATTACCTTTATTGAATACAAAAAACGACCGTCCTATAAATTACAAATTGCGGATACAATCGATAAGGAAACACAGACGAAACGTAAGCGAAAGCGTTTTGTTTCAATCGCATTTGCTTTTTGCGCGCGCGTGATTTGCCGCAGCGTGATCGTTCGATACGTTCGATAAAGGTGACGGTGATAATAATATAATAATAACGCAGATAGAAGAGAGAAAGGGAGGACACGAAATATGGGAGAATTTGCAGAGACGGGTCTCCGAGAGTTCTTTTTCTCCTCTGTCACGCGTCGCCTCGGAAAGGGATGGACCAACGTGCACACAGAGAGAGAGAGAGAGATCGCGGCACCTTGGCCCGCGTGACCCTCGTGTAAGATACACGAAGAGGGCCGGCGAGCGCGCTCGGCGCGACGATCCGAGTAGTGACCGCACCCTCCGCGTGGCGGCGTTTTCTCGAGAGGGTCGCGACTCCGAAACGGCGGGGGAGCCGAGGATCCGAAGAAAGGGAGGGTCGGTGACATGCGTGGGCGCACGCGCCGAATCTGGCCGCGGCGGTGGTGGGGACGTTCAGTGTCACTTTGTGCCGGGCGTTGCAGCGCCGTGGCCCCTTCAGTCTTTGATTCGCAGCTGCCGCGGCCGCCGGCTCGCCGACATCCCCAGTGTGTAACCGACGGTGTGCAACGCGCTCTCTCTCTCGCCAGTGTCTCTCTCCCGGGACCGGTCGAAATTAACGAGGCCGTCGAGCGCGAAGAAACGACGAGACCGCGTGTCGCGTTCGCCCGGAACGGCTGCTCTTCCTCCGAGTCGGCGAATTCGCCAAGCACCTGTGAGCAGGCCGACCGTTGTGACTCGGGGAATCTTACGGTGGCATTTGCGCGCGCGACTCGTGCTCTCTCTCTTCGAGAGAGAGAGAGAGAGAGTCGACGACCACGTCGAGACACTTCGGAGCGGGGGAGGATCGACGGAGCAGTCCGGCTCGTGAGAGAAGCCGCTCTCTTTCCTCGTTCGACCTGTCGCGCGCGACCGACAAGTCGGAGCCGTCGGGACGAAAGTTTCCCTCCCGTGTCTCTCCCGTCGTCTCCAGTAACGCGTTGAAGTCCTGTGCGCCGTTAAAGCCCGGGGATTTTCGGGGCTACTCCGTCCACAGCACTCCGGCAGCAGCGCAGGATCTGCGTGCGGCGTTCTCGGCCCGCTGACCCAATTAGTTTTCGCACAGTCGAGCACCGAGAGCGCTCGCAACTAAGAGAGAGAGAGATATATATATATATATAGGATACTGCCCTGTGAACGAGTCGGAAGGTACTTTCGACAAAGGGGTGCAGATTGCAATTCTCCGCGTGAAGAACCCTGTGGACGAACGTGTGCCCTCTCTCTGTCACACCGCGCGTCGGAATTCGCTCGCGCGACTCACTCGCCGTGCTCCTCCCGGCGTTCTTACCCTTCCGCAGAAAAAAGTGACAGGTGGTGAAACGTACGGGTCGATAGTGGTGTTTTCAGTGGAGTGTCGTGAGCACGCGATTCCGTCGTAGTGATCGTCGGAGGGTGGAATCGCGCGGAGGAGCCGCGGATCGCGGCGCCGGGCCACGCTGAGAATCGCCGTGTCGAAGATCGCTCGCGGGCGGAAGTTGAACTTTCTCGCTGGCGTTGACAGATCGATAACAAAGTTTGCGTACGCTAGTTTCCCCCCCGTGTCGCGGTGCTGCCGGCCGCGCGGAGTCTGCAGCGCGCGCCCTTCTTGCACCTCCACCTTCTCCTCCTTCGCTTCCTCCTTCGGTTGCTCTTCCCACGAAGACGGCGAGCGCGGAATGCGCGCCTAAGAGAGTCCCCGAAGCGCGCTCACCTGTGCGAACCTTCAGGATCAATGAGTCGCTCGGCAGCGTAGCCTCGATCAAGCCTCACCTCGGCGACCTACGGATCCCGCTGACACGACGTGACATGCGACGACCGTAGGGCACGACGCCTCTCGCAGCTTCCTCGGCGGCGTCCGGCGGAAATCTGACGCCCCGGCGATCCAACCGTCGCGGTAGCCTGTCGTTCTCCTTGCCGACCAGGGAATACCTCGTCAGGTATCGACGGAGGGAGGAGAAATTACGGGAGAAGGCCGCGGGTAGCAGGGGCAGCTCCTGCCCCAGACTCGGCCTCGAGGGTACCAGCAAGTGCGCAACGGTGAAGGGCAACGGCGGATTCGGCGATTACTCGGCGGCGAGTGAGTTCGAGGTCTGGGGCGACGAACACCACCACCACGCTGCGGATGGTCTAGACAGGCAGGTAGCGAGGCCGCCTTCGCGGCAGCAACGATGCGAAGGCGGTTCTTCCCTGAGACCGTTGCTCCACGTAGCCCACTGTGAGCTCCACTCGCCGCGGGAGGCCGAGCTGCTGCGCCTCGATCATCTCGAGAGCCTCGATCACAAGTCCGTCGAGCACGACGCCTACTCGATGATGGATAACTTTCACAGCCCGGTGCCGCCGCCGTTACCACGACGTCACGTCCGGTAAGGGGCCCCACTTGAAACGAGCCTTTCCCGCTGAATTTCACCGCCGGGATATTTCGCGCCCGCCAACCGGTGCGCCAACCGATCGGTTAAAGTATATATCCGAGATACACATCCGCCGCCGCTGTGCAAAGCCCGACGTTTATTCGTACGTTAAACTCGATTAACGCTTCGCTCGCGGATTCACGCTCTCTCTCTCTCTCGTCGCGCCGGCCGGTGTTAACGATCGGATTTCGCGAAAAAGCCCAGGAGAGCTGCGAAACGGCGCGAGGCTTTGAGGATACCGCGGATTAAGTACGATGATGGGGAAAGTCGCGTGATATTAACTATGCGATTGTTGTTATTGCGGTCGACGACTTCGGTGAGCGAGCGCGGAAACTGACAACCCCCGTGTTGAAGTAACATCCCCGTCGGGTAAAATTGAAATAGCATTTATGTAGGAATGAAGTGTGCTCTCGCGTGCTAATTATGCGCTCCGTTCCCGGTTTTCGCGCTGTAATTCAGCAGAAAATTAAGAGCAACATTCGCGATTTCGACGATCAAGTAACATCATAGGTCTCCCAAGCATTGTGAAAAAATGGCAAAAATCCGAGTTTTCGGCATTTTTTTCAAGTGCTGCGATTTGTTGAATTTATTTTCTTTTTATTTATTGTCTTTGTAAACTTTGATCGCCACCGGGAAATCAGTTGTCTCATTGGATCAGGCTGATGATCACGTGAATCCAACTTTTTCCTCCGTTACACGGAGGAATAGAAGTGGAGTATATAGCGTCTTGCACAAAACGTGGGAGAGGGGCTAAGCGAAAAAACGCAGGCCGTAACGTGTTGTAAAGTTAAGAAAACGCGTTTACACATTGATCATATACACATATTTGGCGCACGCGATGGACAAAGTTGCAGCGAAACTGCTGTTACACGTTCTTACCCGAGACTCGGAAATTCTGAGATATCCATTTCGTGTCACTGCCGAAAGCGAGACCCATCGCGTCATAATAATCGAAAAGCATGAGGAATCAACTGCGTGCAAAAAAGGATCTCAGTTCGCGTTCACAACAGACCGAGGACCGGATGGCAAGAAACGACATCTCTGTTACCGCTTTATCGAAAACATACGATCATGCGAAATTCGACCGCATCGTAACTCTGAGGTTGAGGTAACTGAGAACGATCGACTGGGGGTAGAAACCTGCCCGCGCTTCCCGTTTCAGCAGCCGAGTTTCCCTCTGCGCCCTAAATTACGGGAAATCAGCCGCACGAGAAAATCGTTTTCATTTTCTGTGCGCGTTAATATTCGATAGTTCTCGTTCCAGTAGGAGGAGGAGGAACACTCGCCGTATCTCGTGATAGCAAGCGCTATCGAGTATCGATTCACGGAGCGTCGACACGTCGGAACGATTCGTCATTAACTCCGTTTCTCCAAGGCGAGCCCGTCAGAGTTCGTTATATTTCGAACCACGCCACCAGTCTTATCGTACGGGGCCGTTCTTGCCGTCCCATCTTGGCGTTCGCCCTCCTCCTCCGCGCTACGAATCCAAAGTGAGACTTGCTGCAACGAGCGCAGGAGACGTCGGGCGCAATCTGCAACCGTCTTCCTCGCGGACAAGCACGAGGCCGAAAACCCGCCACCGTCTGTTTCGAGCTGCGCGCTTCGAGCTGCCCGACGATCGATACCGAACGACCGGAAGGTGTTCCAAATACGGGAGGCGAAGCAAAAAACGCGAAGAAACGCAAAGTACACTCGCGTGTACTCTCTCCCTCTCTCTCCCCGAAATATTCACGGAAGCCGACTTCTCCGCAGACTCGATTTCCGATATCGCGCCTCTCTCTCTCTCTCTCTCTCTCTTTTTGTCTGTCACCAAAAGGGTGCAAAAACGCGTCCAAACGATCTGTTTACCGCGCGATAACGAGCCCGCCTAAAATATGTCGCCGACTGCAAATCACCGTACCGCTCGCTCTCGCTCGCTCGCTCGCTCGACGCGAGCTAGAGCAAGATCTCCCTAATTGTACGGTAACGCCCGTGAAGTATGCAAAGTGGCGCATAAATTCACGCGACGCTCCGTAATTAAAATTAACTCAAAGCGGACTGAATGCCGCCGTAACCGCACGGTTACAACGTGCGTTCGCGCGCCAAAGCATCGCGCGCGCCCGCGCTCGGTTCCTCAAACCTTCCCCCCCTCCCCTCCCCCCCCTCTCTCTCTCTCTATCTCCCTCGAGGTGCGCTCCCTTCACCGCGTCCTGACGAGTGCGCAAAATGTGCGAGGAGGAGGAAGGAGACGTCGGCCTCCGTAACCGCGAGCGACACAAAGCAAACAGGCGGAATGTAGCGACGTCTAGGATTACGAAATTCACACACGCCGCCATCCCCGGGAGCAATCAAAGCGGCTTGGAAATCCGCGCGAGCACGCGTTACCGTTAACGCTAGTGTTAGCGAGAGAGAGAGAGAGTGCGGTTCGCCGCGCGGTTGATAGAAAACACACGGTATAATCCGACGGATTCTCTAGTTGCGAGACAGAGAGAGAGAGAGAGAGAGAGACGAGTAACACGCTGGCAGGGAGATGCAACGCGGCGTGCATCGCAGACGATACGCCCGGGGGGAGAGGGGGGAGAGAGCGAGTGTACGATCGATATATGCACGCATACGGGGGGCGAGAAAGAAGAATACGCGAGTTAGGTAGCGCGCGGCGCGACGTTACGCTACGTTACGCGAGGCGACGCGTCGCGACGCACGGCCCGCCGCGGGAAAGGCAAACAAAGTGATACCAAAGAGGGAGAGAGAGAGAGAGAGAGAGGAAGCCGCGAGGCGAGGGTGGCGAAGGAGCACAGGATGAGGATAGGAGAGTCGCAACGGGAGGAAGGGAGTTTGGGAAGAAGAGGGTACGTCGAGTATGTAAAAGGCGAGCGCGGGGGCGGCCGCACGGCGCCGACATTTCGCGGTGAAGCAGCCGACCCCATAGCCATGCATCACTCTGTCCTACCAACAACTACCCGTTATAGCTGCACCTACGCGACCCCCTCGCAACTTTACTTCACCCTCTACTCCCCCCCCCCTCCGGTCTCTTTTTCTTGCTTCCTTTCTCATCATCGTACTTTGTCGCTTCCGTCCTGTTCTTTCTCATTCGGTAGTATTCTCTGTTCTTATGCGTTTTTCTCCGTTCAGTAGCGCCTCTTCGTCTCTTTTCCCGTCGCTCTTTATCTTTTATCTCTTCCGCAAGCGCGACGGCGGCTGCGGTGGCGTCTCTCTCTCTCTCTCTCTCTCGACGATCCATGCTCTGGTTTTCCCACAGCATGATTCGGCCATTACCACACGCCCGTCATCGTCGTCGTCATTACCTGGTGCTTTTTAGGCCACTCTTCTCGGCGCTCTCTAACGCCGCGAGATTTCGCTTTATACATACCACACGACGGTACGCAACAGCGCCGTGATCCTGTTTGCCGTTCACTCCTGTTAATCCCGACGTAGTGATCTCTTTCGTAGTCCTCCACTGATCGAGGCGTCTCTCTTTGCGAACGCATCGTCGTCCTCGCCGACGCTTGAACGACGTGGAAGACGCGAGGAGAGACGGGGAACAGCGGGGAGGGAGAGAGCGCGAAGAATGGAAATCGTATTTCCATAATATTCCAAACTACTTCCGCGTCGGTGAAACGCGCGGGGTAGACGCACCGCGTAGGAGAACGTCGGCGGCGACCGGGGTCTTTGGAAGGCAAACGATTCTCATCTTTCGATATTAGCCGACTGTAGCGTCGGAGACGCGGTGATTTTTCGCGGTACCACCGAGAGAGCGACGACGCTGCCGAAGGAACCGGGGGGAATGATATACTTCTCGCGTGAAAGAAAGAGGAGGATGAGAAGGCGGTGGAAGAGAGAGGAGAGGAAGGGGAGGGGGAGGAAAGTGTACGGAGAATTCTCTCTCTCAGTAGAGATAAGGGTTTTACATTCTACGTTACGCCACGCTGGATGAGCGATGGTACGACTTCTCTTCCCACCGGAATATTCCACTTACCGGGATATTGGTACACCGATGATATTTCTCTACACGGCGCGCCACGCAACGAGCACGTTCGATATATCGGCGTGACGAATCGTATTCTAGCCGGGACACCGCTTAGAGTCACCTGATATGATGGGAACGCGACGGTTAATCGAAGCACTCCGGTTTTTTGTGCCGCAACATTCGTTATTATTATTGTTATCGAAGCGTAAATTATTCCGTTCTCAGGGACAAATAGAGCTGAGCGCAAACCAATATAATTGCACATTGCTAGGGTCTCCTGTATAATTTTCTCGGCCTTATATATACTTTCTTAAGCATGTATTACCCGTATCTCAAAATAACGAAAAAATGATGAAAACATTACAAACTGATGATCTGCATTATATTTAAAAGTGGCACGATTAAAATTGACAAGTTTGGCAGTAATTCAGAATCCGGATCAAAAATTATTTCGTTTTAAAGGAGATTGCAAGATAAAATTGATTTGATGAGAATTCGATGAAACTTGCACAGCCTTTACACTGGAATATTATCTAATTATTCGAGCAATTAAGAGAAGATTGACTATTCAAGATGTTTGTAATATCATCATAATCATAACTTATAGCGATATTCGAAATATATATATGTATGCACATATTTAACACTTGCTTTTATTATCTATGTATTACTATTAGCTCAACTGATGCATAAATATAACATTAATAAGAAACATAAAAAAATAATATTTTCGTATTTGTAATATTGTGTATGTCTACCTTAACTTCGTGTCAAATTAACATTTATTATTTAGGCTGCGAAATAAATATATAGGAACGTAATTTTGCTTGATAAATATTAAATTTATGAATGGCTTCTTTGGTGCGTCACTGAAAATACGACACTAGCTACCTCCATAAAACGAATTATGATAATTTTTCCTCTCTACAAAAAGCGTGTTAAGTCGATACTCAAAATTATCGAAGCCATTGTTTCTCTTCCGCGGTGCTAATTGGCTATCGCTTTGTCG